ACGAGAGAGTAAGTAAGTTAAGTAGTAGTAGACGTAGGACGACGTAGTAGTAGTAGTAAGTAATAATAATTATTATTATTCTCATTACCCATTCAAGCCGTCTCCAGCCATTATTAGTCTCAAAGTGGGTTCCTCGTCATCGAATAAGACATTAAGGGTAATGATAAATGGATTCTTCAAGATGTAAAAGTGAATAGAAGAAGATAGAAAAAAATTCTTAAACATGGCTTATATTTTTTACACACTTATTTTCTGTGCTGCATATTTATTAAGAACTTCTTTTGTGAGAGTGACAGTCAGGCATGTCTCCTATTTAGTTGTGTGCAAATTTATTTATAACTAATTAACTTCATTCTAAAACAATATAGCTTTCTAAATTTAAAAGAAAAAATATTTTTTTCTTTTAGAGACATGGTTAAGGCAGCTCACTTGAAACCCTTGCAAAGGGATGACAAAATTAATGGTATACCCAAGAAAGTTTGGAATAGTTTTGCTACTAATAGAGTGAAAAGTGCCCAACAACATCAGTGTCCATGTGCTCAGCTTTCAAAGCAGGTTAGTTAATACCATTTGGCTAAGATATTTGTACTTGTAAATATCTTCTTCTTCATAGTTTAAACTGAAGGTTGTTAAGTATTAATTACATTTAGAGCAGTGGTTCTTGACCTTACTTCTTTGTGAAACCCTTTAAGAACCAAAGACAGTTTCAAGGACTCCAGTACTCGTATAGGTATCTGTGGGAGTTTATAAATATTTCAACTAATTAAATGTTCATTTAAACAAGCTTAATTTCTTTTCTTTTATTAAAATGTACTATGGAACTTGCCCGGCATGGCCAGGTGGTTAGGGCGCTCGACTTGCAATCTGAGAGTTGCGGGTTCGAATCCCCATCACACCAAACATGCTCGCTGTGGGAGCATTATAATGTGATGGTCAATCCCACTATTCGTTGGTAAAAGAGTAGCCCAAGAGTTGGTGGTGGGTGGTGATGATTAGCTGCCTTCCCTCTAGTCTTACACTGCTAAATTAGGGACGGCTAACGCAGATAGCCCTCGTGTAGCTTTGCGCGAAATTCAAAACAAACAAACAAACTATGGAACTCAGTCCTAATTCTTAGTCATCATAGACCCCCTTTGGAATGCTTATGAATCCCATGGGGTCTGTGGACCACAGGTTGAGAAACACAGATTTAGAAAGTTTAACAAGTGATTGAAAGCTTCAGTCTAGATCTACTTCTGGGAAACCAGAGAGAGTTATCTGTGAAGTAAAAGAACCTGAAACACCTTAAGATATTCTCAGTGACATCTCTGTATGTTTTAACAAGTAGTAAGTAATTTTTGAATTTTCAATGTATTAAAGTATGATTGAATTCTACATTTATTATTGTTCAATTTGTGGAGGAGATACTTTAGGTTAGATCTCTGGTGTAGACTTGTGATTAAGAATGTTTAAGTATTGTAAAAAGAGAATATACAACTTAAGATAATCACAAAACTAACAAAAACATATTTAATCTATAAAGTGAAAACTGTATAATTGCTGTTAATTAATAATATTGTATTTTTGGATGTGGTAATGTAATGTTTTTTTTCTTCATAGTTTCAGTTTATCTTTAATTGTAACAAACATTTTCTGAAGAGCAAGTGGGTTGGAGTATTTCTAGAGAAGTGGCTCTTGCAATGTTTTTAATAACACTTGTCAAAAAACAGTGAAACATTACATGTATAGTATTGATATTTGTGTGTTGTATACAGTGTAATTTTTGATTAGGCTTAGGACTGTTTTCTTATTACATTGATGTAGAATTGTGGTTGAGGTTAACAAGTATTAATTCTTGCTGGTAAAAAAAAAGTATTAAAAAGTGTTTTATTGCATAGTTTTCATGCCTTATTTTACATTTAATATAGTGTGATATAATTTAATTGGATATCAGTATGTTGTGCAATTTCTTAACAATTATTTTGATAAATTTGGAGATGTTGTGGCATATATTTTACTCATAACTTTTGAATAAACAGATTCTAAACAGTAGAGCATGTGCTTTGATACACATGAAGACCCAAACTCATGATATTCATCCTGGTTTAGTGTTCATGAGAACCTGTAAAAAGAAAATTAACATTTTCAAGTACAAAATTAGGAGGTGGGGGATATTTTAGCACTTGGAAATATTGACAGTTCTAAATGTCCCTTTGCCTTGTATATTATTTTCTTTCTTAATTTGTGATGAATTGAGTTCAGCACCAAGTAGTGACAATACCTTGGCAGCCCCCAATTTAACTCATTCTGGCTTAGGAAAACAGCCAAGTTTCAGTTGCAAATGAGGCTTTAGAGTTTTGATGGGCATGGAAGCAAGATAAATATTTCTTTCCACTTGTTGAAGTGAAATATAACATTAGGTATGCTTATCTGATGATTTTACCAATAGCAGCATTTGGAGAAAATCCAAATAGTAGCTAATATTATCAATGAAATAATGTGTTTATGGCTGCAGTAGGTATTCATGAATTTAATATTGATACGAGTATTGCTATTTTCCACTAGATATTTATATGATGATTTTATTATTAATAATATATAGAGAAGACCCAGATGTTCTCTGATATTATCAGTAAATTGATACATTGGTCAAGCTTTAAGTTCTAAATATGTTTATATCTGCAATATAAATATAATACTTATGTGAGTAGATCTTAATGATTATCTAAAAACAAATTGTGTTTGTTTTCCAACAAATACTTCTTGAGAATCTTGGAATAGTTGATATTAATCTTAAGTACATTTTATTAAACAGGATAAAAATCCTTGGGGAAGTCTCTCTTTGGACAATAAAACTTGAAAATTTTATTCACATATTTTATGGTATTTCCCACCTCTTACATTTTTTACTTTTACTAAATATTTTCTTTTAGTAATAAAATAGAACATAAACATATTTTTCATAGTAAACAAGTACAGTGTAAATATAAGATCAGTGGGGTAACTACTACACCTGAAAGTTAGATTGTATGAAGCATTCAATCTAGAAGTCATTTTTGTACAAGAGTAACTATGGTGCTGAAAATGTTCTTTTTCAAAATATGTGGAATATAAAATGTATGTTACGAATTTTTTAGCCTTGTGAACTTAAGACACCTTTTACCAGCCAAGAATTTGAAAAGATTTGGCACCGTCACCTCACAAGCACTCAAGACCATTACAGCTTCTTAAAGAAGTTAGGAGGTGAGACATTAGGTCAAATATTTCACTCTGAAATAGGCTTTGGTCTTCTTGGTGAAATTTTGGTGTCTTTGATTGAGTTTGAAGACACTGTTGAAGACTTCTGTTTGGTGGTAGAAGTGTTAAGTGGACTCAGTAAAGCAAAAAGATTTGGACTGACTTTGCAGTTCTTAACCAGTGAAGAAAAAGCAGAGTGTAAACGACTATTCCAACTAATGTGGCAGAGTATGTCAGACAAACAGCAAGACTTGGCAGAAAATGGAATCACAGAACTCACTCTCCAAGATTTAATGAAAGTCTATGAGGTAAAATCAAAGTAAACTGAACAGAGGAAGTTAATAATACCATATTTTTCTCCTCCTCATTAATTAAAGTATTTTATCTTACTCCAGAATGGGATACCAGTGGTTTTTGCTAAAAAAAATTGTTTTTTGCTCACAATTTTTCAGAAATGTGTGCTTTCTATTTGTTTGGCTTCATAGCAGAATAATATACTGTCATTCTTTTAAAACATTTTTAAGATAGTTACTTGTTTACTTTCATCCATGTTCTGAGCAAAAGGCCCCCACAACATTCTACACTCCAGCTGAGGCTCTCCTCACACCATGAATTTATTTGCTGTGGCCCCACTAAAGTCTATGGACCCCAGTTTGGGAACTCCCGCCTTATAGGACAGGAAACTTGTAAATACCAAGTTTTAATATACTGTTTCTTATTTTTTGTGTCATTACTATGTATACGCGTGTAGTAATTGATTGACTACAATAGTAACAGAAAAAAGTAAGATGTGGAAATTTCTGTTTTTTCGTGTATAATTATTTTACTTCTCTTGTAGATATTTTTCTCCAAATTGCATATTAGAACTACCTTTAGAAGTGCAGTTACAAGAAATTAGAATTGTTATAGATTATAACAATTTTCTTTGCATGCAGTATGAGCAGTAATGCTCATGTTTTATCATTTGCTTGAACTTGTACTTATATTCACATACATTTCCCATTTATCATTCTTACTTTAAATTCTATACACTAAACTTTAAATTGTGGATTTTTCACAATGATCAGTTTTCAAATGTTTTTGTTAATTTAAAATACATCATCCTACTAAAAATAATAGGTTTGTCATGAGTCTAACTATCAGATAGTACAGATGTTGACCAGAATTTGATACAGTATCCATGCGAGTATGTAAAGATAAGCAATCATATATAGTTTCAAACATTAGGCTTCAACTTAACTAATAAGTTTGAAGATTACCATAATGTTGATTTTGTTGTATCATAAAATTAGATTGTGATTATATGATATAGAAAAGTTTATATACACGTGTTAGTTTTGCAACAGTATGCTGGTATGATTATACTGTAAATGGTTTCATAGAGCTAGTGTTTCTATTTATATTAGTGGTAGTCATTTTTTACATTAAGTATGTTTTTACAGCAAGTTAAATATTGTAGCAATAGTAATGGATCAGACATTGTACTGGCTTCTTACTGATTCCATTACTAACTGAATAACACATTTCAGAAATACAAAGACATTGTACTGGCTTCTTACTGAATAAGACATTTCAGAAATACAAAAACATTGTACTGGCTTCTTACTGATTCCATTACATTTCAGAAATACAAAGGCATTGTACTGGCTTCTTACTGATTCCATTACAAGCTGAATAAGACATTTCAAAAATACAAAGACATTGTTCTGGCTTCTTACTGATTCCATTACAAACTAAATAAGACATTTCAGAAATACAAAGACATTGTACTGGCTTCTTACTGATTCCATTACAAGCTGAATAAGACATTTCAAAAATACAAAGACATTGTTCTGGCTTCTTACTGATTCCATTACAAACTAAATAAGACATTTCAGAAATACAAAGACATTGTTCTGGCTTCTTACTGATTCCATTACTAACTGAATAAGACATTTCAGAAATACAAAG